GGGGCTCGATCCCTTGACCCTGGGATCATGACCTGAGCCGAAGGCAGACGCTTAATGACTGAGCCACCCAGGTGCCCCACTATTGTTATTATTTATATTGCTAATATTTATTTAGTTTTAGGCTTCATACCAAGTACCTCACATGTATTAATTCTTTAATCCTCACAACAATCCTGTGAAGTAAATACTGCCCTTATCCCTTTTTTGGAGATGAGGAAATTGAGGTAGATCTTACCTTTTTGAGAAAATCCAACTCATTTCCTAAATCTTCTTCAGTCTCCTCAGATATTTATTAATGAATAAATCAGATGTAGCCTTCTCCTCTCAGAACATGCTACCTGGAGTGGGGTTAGGAGAGAAGTACACAAGTAAACAGCAATTTCAGTAAACGAAGTGTTAAGATGGAGACGTACAGAGCACCAAAGGAGGGGAACACGGTAACCTGGGGGCTGGGCAGCAGAATAGGCTTCTCGGAAAAAGTCACATCTAAGCTGAAGATGAGTTTTTTTAGTTCAATATTAAGAGAATTACTTAACCCCTGTCCCTTAAACAGAATTGTAAACTCCTTAGGGTGTGGCTTCTGATTCCTTTCTTTCCCTTCTTTCCCAAGGGGAGGCGAAGGAGGTAATAATTTTTGAGGATCTGGCATTTGGCTAAATATTTAACTTTTCATTTAATTTTCATAAGAAACTTGGGAAGTGGTGTCTTAATTATTGTTTACAGTTGAAGAATATTCATCTTCTAGGGCTGCCATCACAAAAGAAACAGGGGACTTGAACAAAATTTATTTTCTCTCCATTCTGGAGCTTGAAAAGTCCAAGATCAAGGCAGATTTGGTTCTTGGTGAGGGTGCTCTTCCTGGCTTGTAGACGACTGCCTTCTAATTCTGTCCTGACATGGTGGAGAGAGAGGGAGCAGATTCTCCAGTTTTTCTTCTTATAAGGGCAGTAATTCCATCGTGAGGGTTCCAACCCTAACCGTGACTAGCTCCCAGAGGCCTCTCCAAACACCTTTACGTTGAAGGTTAGGGCTTTAACATAGGAGCTGGGTTGGGGGAGGGGGATGTGTGTGGGGGAGAGACACAGTTCAGACCATAGCAAAGATACAGGCTCACAGAGATTAAGTCACTTGCCCAAGTTCACAGAGCTGATGAAAAGAAGACCAGAGAGTCACACCCAGGTCTGTCGTTCAAGTCTGTCTGCTCTCCCACACCATGGTGCCCTGCATTGTGTTTTATCTGCAGGTGGCACTCACAAGTACTTGTCAAATTGATTTTATATTTTATAGTTGTTACGATAGATACCTATCATATCTGCAGACCTTCAGATCTATATAATCTAAAATCCCACCGACTTAAAAATTTGCAGTGAAAGGATGAGTGAGAAGGGTCTGTAGATACAAAGCCAGCAGTCTTTCTCGATGGCTGCTTCACGTTCCATACCTCACTAACTGGTACGGTGTCCGTTTTTCTGCTGGATTGGTAATATCTAAAAATAAGCAAATGGTCATTTCTGCTCTGTGAGCAGGAAAGCAGAGCACCAGGCCAAGGCTATGTCTATGTGAGGTCTGCTATCTTCTTTCTAAAAAGATTTCTATCTTTTTGAATTATTTTAAGGTGCCGGACTCGCAGGTAGTGGTATAGATCAGCTGTTTAGGCAGCCAAATATGCCAGCTCAATTGCTTTTCAGTCCCTTGCTTTTCATTATGTAATGATGGTCTGAATTTTAATAGGTGTAGGGATCTTGTGTCACAGCCATTTTTGACATATCTAAAAGTAAAATAGGTCTGTGTTTACACACATACACACGCACTTCCTTCTTTAAGGAAGGAGGAATACAAGAAATCTGAAGATGTGTGTGGGCATTTTACAGGAAAGTTTTGCTATTGAAGAAACTAATAATAAGTCTTTATAAATACAGTCTTTAAAAAAAGCTTTATTTTAACATCCCCAAGTATGTCTAGAACATAGTAGGCATTCAATAAATTATTAATTTGAACTGAGTTCATGGTACAGGTGAATTTCACATTTTATATTTTATAGTTGTTACCTGAGTTCCACTGGTTTTCACAGTGATGATACAGGCATTCAAGAAATAGAGTTTTGGGCATGTGGGTGGCTCAGTTAGTTGAGCACCTGCCTTTGGCTCAGGTCATGATCTCGGGGTCCTGGGATCGAGCCCCACATCAGGATCCTTGCTCAGCGGGGAGTCTGCTTCTCCCTCTCCCTCTGATCCTCCTCCCCATCTGTGCTCTCTGTCTGTCTGTCTATCTCAAATAAATGAATAAAATCTTAAAAAAAAAATAGAGTTTCAGGGCACCTGGATGGCTCAGTCAGTTAAGCATCCAACTCTTGGTCTCAGAGTTGTGAGATCGAGCCCCACATCAGACTCCATTTTCAGTGAGGAGTCCACTTGAGATTCTCTCTCTCCCTCTGCCCCTTCCCCTGATTGCATGCTCTCTCTCTGTTTCTATCACTCTCTCTCAAATAAATAAATATATCTTAAAAAAAAAAAAGAAATAGAGTTTTAAAGGAAAGGAGCCTGAAAATGTATTCTACACTGACATAGAACTCTGGCATTTCAAAATCACTGATATGTTCTTCAACATCAGACTTTACTAATCACATGAATTTTATTTTTTTTAAAGATTTTATTTATTTATTTGACAGAGAATGAGACAGCGAGAGAGGGAACACAAGCAGGGGGAGTGGGAGAGGGAGAAGCAGGCCTCCCGCAGAGCAGGGAGCCCGATGCGGGGCTCGATCCCAGGACCCTGGGATCATGACCTGAGCCGAAGGCAGACACTTAACTACTGAGCCACCTGGGTGCCCCAATCACATGAATTTTAGGTAATAGTACAGCTTTATGAAGACACTGGATGTCTCCTTTAGCTGTGTGACTGGTGCCTAGCACAGTATCTGACATAGTAATGCTCACTAAATGGAATGAAAATGGAATGAAAACAGTCTTCTGTACTCTTCTATTTTGGTGACTTATACAGTATACTTAAAGCAGTGAAATAGTTTCAGTTGTATTATCTTTATTTACTTAGTAAGTTACATTGGGTTTCATATTGATAAACATAATTTAATATCAGGTAGTGTCATCTATTTATCGTAAAGTTCCCAAGATTCCCAAATCTTAAGAAATCATCACTTTCTTAAATTTTCTGTCTTATATTTGGATATTTTATTTATATTTGCATGATCACAATCAGTCAAAGGATGGCTAGTATTTGTTAGAGCTCTTTAGACCAGTTTGGGAAACAAATCTGTCAGGTGTCCAACGAGATAACTTCTCCCTTGGCCAAATTTATATTCTGCTTTAGATCTATTCCCCATCTCACCTTATCACCCCCAAACCACAGTGCTGTTCATTTCCTATTTGAATAAACAATCTGATGGATTTAAAAATCTTTTCTTTCAAGGTTTCATCATCCAAACATACTGGAGTTGGCTGCCTATTTTACAGAGAGTGAGAAGTTCTGCCTGGTTTATCCATATATGAGAAATGGATCCCTTTTTGACAGATTACAGTGTGTAGTAAGTCACACCTATGACTCTCCGTGACGCTCTGACCCCCTGAAGCCCTGAAGAAGCTGCTGAAACGTCCTGTGGGATCCAGGGGGCCAACATGTATTCACAGCAAGAGATAGCCAACAGTGGGTTTCCCAAGGAAGTAGAGGACTTTTCCATGAATTAATATCTTACTCTAAAAAAAGACTGCATAAATACCTGAGTTATTGTGTGTTGTGCAGCACGGTGGCCAAAAGATTTGCGGGGTCCTTAGTCCTTATTGATTCCATATCTCAAATGAGTTTACATTAACTACTCTTATTTCTTAGATAATTTCTATTTGCATAACTTCACACAAAGTACCATTGAATACAAAGGATAGACATAAAGGTGATACAGACTCCTTAAAGAGAACGAGGTTGAATAAATGCCTTGATTTCTCATGTTTTTGAAAGATAAGTTTAAAAATTCATTCTGAATAGGTTGTCTCGGTTAGGGTAAGAATAAAAACAGATTATTCTCAATTACCCACACTATTATGCCACAAATAATTTTTAAGTCTTATTTAATGAACTTTTTTTTAAGTAGGCTCCATACCGTATGGAGCCTGATGTGGGGCTTGAACTCACGAACCTGATGAGATCAAGAGTCAGAGGCTTAACTGACTGAGCCACGGAGGTGCCCCTTATTAGTGAACTTTTAAACATAGTTACCTTACTGGCCATATTTTGATTAAGCTAATGTTAAAATTATTGGGTATTTCCATTGGCTATAAAAAGGCCTAGTACCATTGGCAGCAGAGGAAAATGTATCTTGAATTACAAATAGGTTGTGGGAAACCAAAATGTTCATACCCTAGCCTTACCCCACCTCACCATCTGCTTTTCTTCTGGCATACTCCTATGTAATGAGTATACACATTTCATTACCAAACCAACTACTGTTGTCTTTTTAGGGTAACACGGCCCCACTCTCTTGGCACATTCGAATCAATGTTTTAATAGGAACCTCCAAAGCCATTCAGTACTTGCACAACACGGAGCCGTGCTCGGTCATCAGCGGCAGTGTATCAAGGTAAATTATCCCAGAGCCTTAGGTTGCACCTGAAAGCCCCTTTCATCGTCACAGGTGAGTCAGACTTCACACTATTTTCTACCTGTAGTTTGTATGTGTGTGTGTTTAAGGGTTAAGAGTTCTCATTGAAGAGGGGTGTCTGGGTGGTTCAGTCAGTTAAGCGTCTGGTCTGACTCTTGGTGTCAGCTTGGGTCATGGTCTCTGGGTGATGGTCTCAGGGTCATGGGATCAGTCCGTGTCAGGCTCCATGCTCAGTGTGGAATCTGTTTGGGATTCTCTTTCTCCCTCTCCCTCTGCCTGTCTCCACCCACCTCTGTGCGTGTGTGTGCTCACTCTCTCTCAAGCTAAATAAAATCTTAAAAAAAAAAGAATTCTCATTTAAGTATTTAAAATCTTACTTTTTTTAGTGAAGTATAATTGACATACAATATCCAGTTAGTTTCAGGTGTACCTTACAGTGATTTTATTTTTTTTATTAATGAAAATTTTATCTATCCAATTTAAAAAGCTACATTTACATGGCCAAAGGGAGAGTTTATATTATCTTTGGGAATTATTAATGAACAACGTAGGATAGACAGTTTTGTGTATTTTACTAATGATACCTGACACTAAACTTTGAAATGAACCTGTATTAATCTCCCTTTTTTCTTCTTAAGTGAGTTTTAAGGAAAGGTTAAGTGACTTATACAGAGATTCCCAGCAAGATAACAGCAGTAGACAGTAGACGGTCATTAAAATTCTTTGTCCCGGAGTCTCTTGCTGATTCCGCTGAGCCTGCAGCCTCTTAGCTTTACGTATTCATCTGTGACAAGCCAAGCAGCAACTCCCGGTGTGCATTTCTGAGACATCAGAACTTTAGAAGCAACATCTTCCATCTTTCTTTCTTTTTCTTTCTTTTTTTTTTTTAGTAGACCTAAAGACAGAGAGTCGATACTCTATAGCAAAATCCTCCTGGTGAATTTTTCCTGTGTGCCCTTCCTCTCGAATCTGTCCAGAAGTAGGTAAATATACCTTTGCTGAATAGCAGGGATGGCTGAATTTAAGAGGCTCCTGCCTCTTCTGAACCATCTCCTGGTATCTTGAAAAAGCTTTTAGTGTGCTTTTGAGTTGAACAAAAGAGGGACTGATTACTTACTTCTTTGTTTTTCTGGTGGAATTGAACTCTATATAAAAAGACCCTAGATTTTTCCCGAGTCCTGGGCTTGTGTGGAAACAACCCCTAGGTGTCTGCTCCTGTGGTACTGTGGTTAGGTCATCAACTCTGCTGGCCCCGTTGAATCAGCACAGAGTGGGTACTCCCTCAGGGGACCTGGGTCAAAGATGCACAGCCACGGAGTCAGGTCTATTCTGAAGGGCTGAGGTGGCCACCCCCAACCGGAAACAATCTGCCTACCTGGCCACCAGCTCAGCACAGTAGGTTCTTAAATATATTTTATCTGAGTAAATAAATATCTGGAATTTTGCTGTACATATATTCTTCTTCTGGTTTAAACTTAAAATAAGTCTAGCTTCTTTTCCATCCCAAAGCAGTAACACATTAATGTTATTAATTTTCTTTCGTGTGACTGAGTTCATCGCATCCTTTCCTGAACGCAGAACTTGATGGGGGAGAGGGATGAGAAGCAAGAGTGTCAAGGTTCTGGTCCTTGATGGGCGAGGGGGACAGGGAAGGCCACCAGCTGGAACAAAGGGAGGGTCAGGGTGGAGGGCTACAGATCCAGCCTCTGCCCACGTCTAGGGTTTTCCACCGCTGTGGACGTGCCCCCCAGCATCCCTCTCCAGGGATCAGGTGAGAGCTCGGGCCGTGGCCTTGACACCCGCTTTCTCATTATGGATAGGTGTCTTCAGGCAGGTTCCCAGGAAATCGGCTCAGAGGAGAGGCTTGCCTGCAGGAGGTTTTTTAGAGGGCTCTCAGGAACAACAGGAGTAAGGGAGGGAAGGAGGAAAGTGAAATTGGGCAATTGGAGAAGCTGAGCTGCGAAATGGTAGTAGAGGCCTAGGTCAATGCCATGGGGAGCACCGGTGCTGGGATGGGCCTTCAAAGATATCCTGATGTGTGGCAAGATGCTTGGGTCTCTGCACCCCTGCGTCTGACCAGCCCTGCGTGGGGCTGTGACTTGCACTATGACTTGGACGAGGCAGCTCCCTTCGACCAAGGGCAGGTTCCAGGTAGGGGTTTAGCTGTGCGCCGTCAACAGCCCCCTCTCCCTGGCTGGGGAACTGTTGTCTCCCTGGGTCCTGGAGGAGGGATCTGGGTCACACCGCTGCAGCCACTGCCGTCATGGGGAGAGATATGACTGCCTGGTGCTCTGCAAAATGGGACCAAATGATTTTTCTTTTTCATCAACTTTCCTCCCACCTTCTTCCCATCCTTTCCTCTTAGCTCACTATGCCCTAATGTTTCAGAGACATCTAATTTAAGAAACTGACTTTCTATTTAATGTGATTCTGAGCAAACTGCTTAATTTCTATAAGCATCAGTGTTTCCCTCTGCAAAATGCTAATAAAATAATAATAGCATCTATCTCTTAGAATTAAACACCATAAAGTACATACGGTGCTTGGCAAAGAGAATGCACTCATCAAATGGTAGCTTCTCTTATAACTAGTGAAGATGTGGTAGGAATCTGGTGGCAAAGGCTAAGAGATATGATGGCCAATCTGTCTTTTTTACTTACCACTCTTAACCAAAATACTAGATGCTATAACCAAAATACTAGAAAGGTGGGTGACTTATAAACAACACACTTTTATTTCTCGCCGTTCTGAAGGCTGGAAGTCCAAGACCATGGCACCAGCTGATTCTGTGTCTAGTGAGAATCCACTTTCCGACTCATAGATGGCCATCTTTTCTCTGTGTCCTCGCAGGGTGGAAGGGGCAAGGGATCTCTCTGGGCCTTCTTTTATAGGGGTACTAATCCCAGTCATGAGGGCTCTGCCCTCTTGACCTAGTCACCTCCCAAAGGTCTCACCTCCACATACCATCCCATTGGGGGTTAGGATTTCAGTATATGAATTTGGAGGGGGGACACAAACATTCTACACATGGCACTTACCTCCATCATCAACTTACTGTGTTTGAAAAGTAGGTCCCACAAACTAAGCTCTATTTTAAGAAAAATCACTTCTGTGTCAACACATATTTATTGAACATTTTGAAAATCATGTTTATGTTAGTTTACAAATATTTATGGAACATCTGTTGTATGCAGAGCATTGTATTAGATAGATGCTGGTGATCATCGACTTATCCTTGAAGGTTCAACCTGGTGATCAGAGAGATAACACAAACACAGAAACTATATAGTGAAACACCTAAGATGCGCAATGCCTGCCTGGTCTAAGAAGGCTCATTCTAATTGCAGAGTTCCACGCCCAGCCTTTGAGGAGATGGGTCATGACAGTGGATTGGTTGAAAGAACAGGAGAGAATATTCCTAGCAGAGGCAATCATTTGTTCAAGGGAAGGAGTCAACTAAAGAGTTGCCAAGTGTATAATGAAAACGAGAAAAATGGGTTGACTGGAAAGGAAGGAACAAGACTGGAGAAAGAAAGCGCTCCTGGGAGGGATGAGGAATGTGGGGGGCAGGGGTGTAGTGGGTGTGCATGCTAACCAGGCGGAGGACCTGGGTAGGATAAGCTAAGCCCTTACGAGGAACTCTGAGGCGTTTCTGGGACTAGAGGTGGGAACAGAAAGGTCTGGAGTCTCTTACGATGTCTCACACTTAGAAGGAGGCTATTTCTTCCAGGCCAATATCTCAGGTACTGGGGGTCTGGATGTGGCCAACTATAAAATAATTTCAGTAACACTGCTAGACAGAGTGCCCAACAGTATTACAGATATGCAGCACCAAAAGATTATCTGGTCAGATACAGAGAATTTCATGGAAGAGGCAGGGTTTAAACTGGATATGTGCTACCAGCATATTTTATTTTTTTAGTTGGTGAAGGGGCTGCTGAGGAGTGTTGCCTTTCTGGGTTTCCCAAAGGGGTCGAGGACTCAAACGTAACTATCTATGGACTATGTCTGCCTGGGCACGTGTCAGGGTATGGAGTTCCGGGGCTGTGGGCATTTCTTTGAGATTGTGGTTTCACACAGCTCATCAGTGTGCCCTGGAATCAGTGATTCCAGAGCGAATCAGCCCTTTCTACTGCCAATGAACTCTTGACCCTTCTGCTGAGCCTGCCAGCAAGGATGTTAATTAGTACCAGCTATAACAGTACATCCCACCCACCCCCCTTTCTTTGTGTGCACCTGTTCTCTGGAAACTGGAATGAGACCAACCCATTTCATTCAGAGCACTGAACATCTGATGGTGATGACATTCAGCCTCCAGCAGTCCTGACCAAATGTGAATTGGGTGACCCAGATTACCCTCCCGATTCTTTTAAATGAACTCTTAACTTTGCTCTAAACTTGGGCCTCCCTGATTCTTGTTCTCTGTTTGTACAGCCTAGTGCTTTGAGGACAGTCTGAGATTCCTATTCTTCTGTTCGTGTCATATACATTTTCTCACTCTCTGGAAGGAAAGGCAGCTTCTAGGAGAGATGTCATTTTATTGCACAGCCCTTATAATTGGCTCGAAAAAGGACGTCTCGAAATGTGTTCAACAGCGACCTTTTCTGGGACTAAGTCAGGGCGCTGTTTTTGATGGAGTAAGAAATGGAAGATATTGTTACCTTTATTTTCTCTTCTGCATTTGGACCTCAGACTGATGAATCACAGGAGAGTTTGTCATACATCACTTGACATTACTAAATAATGTTTTTAATAGTATGAAATAACATGGAACAATGTGCATAAAGTAAGATCAAGTGAAAAGAGCCAAACTGAACTAGTATACAGTATACAGTTATAACTTGCAGAACTCCAAATTCATGAATTTTTCAAAAAGATTAAGGGGCGCCTGGGTGGCTCAGCCCGTTAAGGAACTGGCTCTTTCTCTCAGCTCAGGTCTTGATCTCGGGGCCATGAGTTCAAGCCCTGTGTTGGGCTCT